TTAGACCACCTGGCCTCAGCCAATCCTGTGTCTCTCTGCAATCCAATGGCATGCGGGAAAGGAAGGCAGCCAACCAGAGACGGACATGGATGAGATGTAGTATATAATGAGCGGCGTGGCCAGCGCGGTGGACTCGGATGGAAGGCGCCTGACGCGTGGCTCTGGCTTCTGATTGGTCGATAAAGCCTGTTCTGTTGTACCAGTCTTTTACCTATTAGGCCTCGGGAATTCTACATTGGTGGCAGCGGATGCGTTCGAATAACGCAAATCGAACCCCAGCCCTCTCTCTTCCACGGTCAACACAGGCAGAGACCCTTAAATGCCAGCTGAAATTGTCATGGCGTTCATCCGATGTCCAAAAAAAATGGATCCATAGACACTACCCGGGATTAGGACTACTGCATCTGAAGAGGCATTGGCAACTCAGCGACGACGACTTGGACAGTGAAAGCCAGCTGGACTGCATCTGCGAATGGACCTTCGATGGATGATGAGTCCTTCCTGCAAGTCGACAAGAGCAAAGTCCCTCGTCAACTATTTGCATGGGCCACTATCCTGCCAGATGTGGGGTGCGGGAATTGTCGAACTGGATATTTTACCACTCATGAACAGTGCAGTGAACCAAGCCAGAAGCTGAGGACAGCTTCACTTCTAAGGGGGAGGCAGTGTGGCGTCGGATTAGGGCGCAGACGTGTTGGACCACCTGGCCGCAGCCAATCCCGTGTCTCTCTGCGTTCCAATGGCATGCGAGGGAGATAAGCAGCCAACCAGAGAAGGACACAACTGAGGTGCAGTATATAATGGGCGGCGTGGCCAGCGTAGCGGACTCGGATGGAAGGCGCCTGACGCGTGGCTCTGGCTTCTGATTGGTCAATAGAGCCTGTTCTGTTGTACCAGTCTTTTTCCTCTTAGCGCTCGGGTATCCTACATTGGTGACAGCGGTGAGCTGCACTACACTAAAAATCACGAAGAGCACTATTCCTGGCGTGTACCTGCCATGTCGTGACTGGGACCATCGGTGGACGCCACCTTTTTGGCCGA